GTGTTTGAAATTTTAAAATTTAAAAAGAAAGGAAGGTGACAGGTGGAGCTAACAGAGATAGATGGATGGGTGGATGGATAAATGATAGACAGACAGACATGAAAGGATCACCCAAGGGGAATCTGACATTCACTTATTCCCAGTTGAGTTTCTCTCACACAGCAAAAAGACAAAATCAAAAGCTCAGAACAAAATGAAGACAGGGAGAGAGAGCCAGGTTTGGAATAACAAGACATTCTGAGCAAAATAACACTCGTCTCCTATGAAATGAATATTGTTTAAGGAGACAGTACTTTAAAAACAAACACCATGATTCAAGCTTTTGAATCCACAAAAAACAACAAGAAGCTATAAAACAGCATTTAAATAAAATATTCTTGGAAACTAAACTTACCTTTCTAAGTAAAATAATCAACAGAAGAGTTTGAAGATATAGTGAGATCTACTAAAAAAAACACAGAAAGAGGGAAATACTGAGAAAAATAAGAGGGTCTAAAAATGAGCTGAGACACAGAGAGAGAGAGACACACACACAGAGAGAGACAGAGAGACAGAGACATTGATAATGAATAGATGTTTAACCCGATAGCTAAGAAAGAAATGGGTTTTTGAATTGGAAGCATCCACATTAAGTCCTCGGCACAATAATGAAACATAAACCATCTTTATAAAACTTACATATGGTGAGAAGTCGGAGGATAGGGGAAAAGACACTAGGTAAGGTAGGGTAACCAACCTTCCTCCACCAGAGGCCATCCTGGCACACAGATGACAAGGTAAGCCCCCTGCCCATGGATCACCAACATTCCCCCAGTGCTTGCCCGGCCCAACCCTAATAGTTCTTTGTCGCCTTATTATTCACACCTATGGCTGAAGATCCCTGATGAACCAGAGGCCAAACAGGTATCCAGAACCCCAGGATCCCTGGCTAGACTAGAGGCTACCCCAGCCATCAGAAGTCCATCCCTCAATTTTGGTGGACACCCTCTATTTAACCACAGGTCACTCGGGCCAGAAAAAGAAACAGACACCAAGGAACAAAACACTCACCCAACAAAGACAAACTCAGAAGTCAGCACCTAGACCTATAATCACCACAAACCCAGATGCCTAGACTCCAGTATAAGAACCCAACAATAGTCAGGGCAATAAGGTACCACCAGAGCTCAACCAACCCACTACATCAAGCCCTGAATATTCCAACATAGCTTAAGCATAAAAGATGACCTTAAAACCATCTTTATAAAGATAATACAGATCCTTAAAGAGGAAGTGAATAAATCCCTTAAAGAAATAGAGGAAAAGATGATCAAAAAATTTCAGGAAATTCATAAATGCCTTAAAGAAAGCCAAGAAAAGACAAACAGTTGAAGGAATTGAATAAAACTGTTCAAGACCTGAAAATGGAAATAGAAACAAGAAAAACACAAACTGGGGGAATTCTGGAAATGGAAAATCTAGATAAGTGAACAGGAACTACAGATGCAGCCATCACCAACAGAATACAAGAGATGGAAGAGAGAATCTCAGACATTGAAGATATCATAGAAGAAATAGATACATCGGTCAAAGAAAATGTTAAATCTAAGTAAAAAATTCCTGATACAAAACATCCAGGAATCTGGGAAACTATGAAAAGCCCAAACCTATGAATAACAGGAATATAAGAGAAGAAGAATCTCAGTTCAAAAGCCTAGAAAATAATATTAACAAAATCATAAAAGAAAAATTTCCCAACTTAAAGGAAATGCCTATAAAGATACAAGAAACTTAAAGAATACCAAATAAACTGGACCAGAAAAGAAAGTCCCCTCACCACATATTAATCAAAACACTAAACAAAAGAACAAAGGAAGAATATTAAAAGCTGCAAGGGAAAAAGGACAAGTAACATATAAAGGCAGACCTATTAGAATTACATCTGACTTCTCAATGGAGACTCTATAAAAGTCAGAATGGCCTGGACAGATGTGCTGCAATCTCTAAGAGACCATGGATGTCAGCCCAGACTACATAAATGTGGAAGATCTTCCCATCTTTTGATAATGTATAAAGAGAATTAAAAGCAAGCAACAAGCAAGCAAGCAAGCAAGCAAGCAAGCAAGCAGGCTAAACATGCCACGAGGACCAGCACACTTCTGTGGCCCCGCATCAGCTCCTGCCTTTAGGTCTCTACCCTGCTCAAGTTCCTGTCCTGACTTCCTTTGATGTGTGATATGGAAGCATAAACTGAATAACCCCCCCCTCGGCAAAAAAAAGAAAAAGTAACCAAAACTAAGAGGATATGAAAAAGCCTCATAGAAACCAATTGTTCTATAACCTTATTTAAAAAATATAATCTAGCTGGGTGGTGGTGGCACACACCTTTAATCCCAGCACTTCAGAGGCAGAGACAGATGGATCTCTGTTAGTTTCAGGCCAGCCTTGTCTACAAAGTGAGTTCCAGGAGAGCCAGGACTATACAGAGAAACTCTGTCTCAAGAAAACACACACACACACTCTCTCTCTCTCTGTCTCTCTCTCTCTCTCTCTTAAAAAACAACAACAACAACAACAACAAAAAGCAACCCTTTGGAGGGCGATACCCTCCATGGATACAGATGATGTCCCTCCTAGAAGCCATGGGTTATTACACTATAATCACAGTGCCAGGAATGGAATACCTTCATACTAGTGACTGCTCAGAGAGGTCCCAGGGGCACCCAAACAATAAAGACTATGGCCACTGTTCTTGGTTGCCACCAGAATTCAGTAGTAAAGACTGCCAAGGACTGCACACTCTGGTCACAAGATACAGAAGTCAAGTTGGAGCTGAGTTGTAAGCCTCTTCCCTACTGTCCAGCTGTCATGATGCCAAGCTCCTATGCAGTTTGGGGTGGGGATATTATTAACAATATTACTAACCTGTGAATATGGTAAGACACAATAATAACCTCAGAGGCAAGATGCGTCCTCTAATACTATGCTGGTATAAAATGAGCTAAGCACCAACTTCCTGTCTTTGAGGCCTGCTTCACAAGAGGAAAACTCATGCCTGACACTGTAAGTCTGGTCAAAGGACTTGGGAAATCATGGGCCTTAGGAGGTAACTACTATTTTTTGTTAAAAGGCCGTACTGTTTACATTCCTGGAGTGTGTTGCATTTAGATGTCATCAAAGAAGCTTCTTTATTCAGTGGGGTAGTTAATGCAGAAATCCACAAAAATGCCAAGAAGGAGTGATGGCAGGGTGTTTGACCCTAAATGAAACCTCTGTATCAAGCCCTCTGAGACTCAGCAGACACAGAACAAGAGGAGACAAAATGAATGTCAGAGCCAGGTGATGAGCAGCTTTTGGATATGACATAGCTTGTGTACTCAGAAATTCACTGTAGCTGTTCAGCCTTGGAACCCTCAACATTTTACCATGGATGAACTGTTGGAGAACTACTGGTTACAACTACATCTACTATTATATATGGGGAGGGAATGTGATTTGCTTTTACACGTGGCCTGATGAGGTGCCTTGGTTCCCATCCACACTTGGGCAAGAAACTCCAATTAAACACTGGGTCACGCATCAAAATAAGGCATGGAAGCAAGAAGGTTTTGCTGGAAGAATGGTCTTACTGTGACAAGTGGGGTGATGAGAAAAAAATGAGGGCTGAAAAATCACTGTGTAAATGTATACAACTTTCAAACAACAAAAAAAAAACATTAAAAAATAAATATGGAAATACTAAAACGAACAAGTAGAAAAACTCCATAGAATTTTTCATACTTCTTTATTATGATAATAAAAGTTATGAACATTAAGTAAAGTTTACAAACAAAGATGATTATGGGTCTTAGTACAGGTCCACAAGACCAGCAGCACACTTAAAGGTGGGGCAGGGGACTGTGTATATCAGGCCCGCTGGGCTGTTCACTGAGACCCTTGTTTAAAAGTAAAGAAACAAATAAGAGATAAAGGAACGATCCTGAGAATTTTCAGATAAAAAGAAAAGGGTCTGATATATTCAGGAAGAGCTGACATACATTAACTGTCCCACCCGAAACAATGGATGTCCAGCTCACTGTCTTCAGTGCTCTGGTGAGATACCACTGTGTCACAGTCTGAATCAAGACCAGTATGGGCTACAGAGAAAATTAGGAAATAAAGAATGAATAAACAAAAAAGAAAGACCAGACAAGACAAGCTGGCTAACTTTCAGAAGCTTAGGAAAGGCAGGAGTTTACATGAGGTAGACCATGTAAAACACAAAGGGAAGAAAACCAACCTGAATTCTTAGCAACTGATACAAGAAAGGAGACTGTTCAGTAAGTATAGTAGAGATGTTCTTATTTGTGCGGCATAAGAGGGAAACATTGGAGCCTTAAAGAGGAAATAGAATCCTAGTACAATACTGGGCTCTGTATTGGTTTCTTACAACTGTCATTATACTCTATCTAAGGTTAGACTTAATTGGGCCTTTGTAATTAATATTTAGACCAAAGACGGAGACAAGTACATAAACACGCAATAAACCTCCTCTGGGCTGGGAGCAGAGTCCAGTGGCATAAGGCTTGCCACTACTGGTGAGGCCCTGGGTTAGACCCTAAGCACTGAGAAAAGAAAACTACATATGAACTATGTTAAAGCCACGCCTGAAAGCCCAAGCCTACAATCCCAGCTACTAAAGAATGGGGTAGGACTGGAAGTTCAAGGTTACACAGTTAAAAACCTACCCTGGGCAACTTAGTAAGACATGACTGAAAAATAAAACTGGGGAAAAAAGGGACTTGGAGTATGGCTCAGTGACAGAGACAAGCTGAGTTTGTACTCAGGATGAGACAGAAATAAAGAAAGAGATGATTCTAAATTGAAAATCAATTTTCCACCCCCCCCCAACATAAATAAAAAGGAAAGCAGGGATTGGAAGGTCAGCTTGTATTTTGTTGTTTGTCTTACAACCACCCTAGAAGGGACTATAACAACCTCATTGGTTGTGAGAATTATGAATGGACATTTTTGTCATGTACCTGAGATTCTTCACAGTGGTGCTCAACAGATTCCATGTTGCCCATTACAGCAGTTCCCAGAACTGACATGAGAGCCATCCTGTGGTCAGGTACTCTACTTTTCTGCCAAATAACCGCCTAGGAACAAGAAAACAGAGATGTGCTTTGATATAATTAAGATTTACTGAACTCAAAAACTTAAAGAGTATTTACATATTTAGCATTTATCTTCACTGTTTTCCGTGTCATTCAGAAGAAACTCATGAGCAATGGTCTGAAAGAGCAAACCCTGGTTCTGCATTTTAAGCTGTATAACCAGAAATGTACACTGCTCAACCCCTCAGCCTTGTCCTTACAATTTCATAAAATACTAATTATTTCTCTAAACTTCAGAATACAGACATCAAAATGCATTTACAATTAAAATATGACAGTAAGATTTGTCCCCCTCTCCCCAGAACTGACAGCTAGGCTACAGGATTACTGTACATAGTCAAATAGATGTAAAAATTTTAGAAACAAAATGCGCTTTGAAATGACATTTGCAGTTACTTTTAGTATACAGAGAACTTATAACTAATTGGACCTTATATAAATAAATGTTGCATAGTGAGTAGACTTATTTTACTACTGTATATTGTAGGCAGATCAAGAGATAGTCAAGAGACTAGACCAAAGATGGCTGAGTCCAATTACAGTTGAAAACATTTGAGAAATTATCAATATAGAAAATATTCATCCATCCAACAAATGTTCACCTGCTCCTTATGTCCCGATGAAACATGCAAAGAACCTAAGAACAATCATTACTAGCATCCCAGGGACAAGAAGAGGCAGAATGAGTAGGGTGGTCACAGGAGTGTTACCGGGATGAGGAGGGGGGTGGCCCCAGGAATGTGAGGAGTGATGGCAGGAGAGTGCGATGCACAGAAGTCTTTTCAAACAAGCAGTTCTTTCTCTCTGACAACAAAGATGTGACCACTGAATTCAACTGAATTCAACTGTGACCACTGAATTCATTCAGGAGAGTGATCACAATTCTAAAAGAGCAAGCAGGACCAAACTTTAGTCATCTGGGTCGTGGTCAAACAACAGAGGCAGACATCTCCTTCAGGAAGTCTCACTGCAATGCACAACAGATAGGGCAACACTGGAAGCAGAATGCTGATACACTTGGCCAGGAGGAGGCAGAAAGCATACACGAGCAAGTCAGTGTGACGTCCTCAGGTATGGAAGTTTGTGTGTGTGTGTGTGTGTGTGTGTGTGTGTGTGCGCGTGTGTGTGCGCGTGTGCGCGCGTGTGCGTGCCTGTGAAGCACAGTTTGTAAGATATTACTACTTGAAAAGTAGAAATGTGGTTATTAAATACTTAACAATTGTGAAAAGGGTCTAACATAAACTTTATAAGATATATAAGACAGAATTGCCTCGTGGCGCCAAGCTGAGGTCATCTTTCATTGTCTATGTTGTTCAGAAAAGCAGACCCAGTACCAGGAAAAATAGTTTCTAGTAAACAAGGCTGCTAATAACACTTTACTTCTCAATCCAATGTAGAACTCTGACAACTCCATAAACTTGTACACTCTTTGGAAATTTTATGGCTGTTTCTAAAAATTGTAAAAAAAAAATGGAGGGGTCTATTATACACAGGGTAGGGGGGAAAGAGAGGCATGAATAAAGGCAAAGAAAGGATGGAAAAGAAAAAGGGAAACCAAGAAGAGGAGAAAACAAGAAAGTGGACCAAAGCAATTCAGAGGAGTCCCTAGTGATGGCCAGGGACCCATGTGGTTAAGAGCATGTCCTCCTGGAGCACGTACAGTAAGAACAGGACTAAGGGATGTCCTCCCCTCAAAGAGCAATCACACAGTAGGACAAATGACTTGGTGTAAGGAGAGGACCCGTACGTACTCTTCAGAGTTGTACCTGCACCATCAAACAGTCACAATTAGTGATAATTCACTGCTTGCCAGGCACCTCCAATCCATAAACTACTATATATCTCCATGATCATTTCAGGTAGTTACAGATGAGTAACCCAAAGCTCAAAGAAACCCATTTTTTTCAAAGAAACAGAGAATAAGTCATGGAACCAATTTTTTTACCCCTATTTTTTCTGGCTTTAAACCTATTTTTCATATTCAAGTATTTTCTTTCTAGTCAAAGAAAACAGTAATTTAGGAACCAACTTTAGACTTAAGGAATCCCCAAACAATAAAGTATTTGACTGACAAATGTATTTTTGATAATTACCATTCATGGTCATGTGATTTGCTATGGAATTTCCAATTACTGTCTTAATAAGTTAATTTTAAAAAGCACAGGCAGCACATTGCTGACAAAAGGAACAATGTATGCAAAAGCATGAAAGAACAGAGTAAGCAGGAAATGAAGATTGATGCACAAGAACATAATTATGAATTGCCTAGCATTGCATGCAGGAGTTACAGTTCCTTATACAGAATTCTGGAACAATCTTAATTAAGAACAAAACATGACCACATAGAGACATTTTGCAAGAGTGATTTTACTGAGAGCTGAATTTAGAATTAACATGCCTTAAAGAAAAACAAAACAAACCACTGCTATGGTATTTATCAGAGATTCCCAGCTTTGACAGGGAGCATGAGAAATGAATGAAGTTCATTCACAAAATGTTGCCTCAGATCTCTAGGAACTGCGGTTTCTGCTGTATTACCTGTGGTGTGGTTGCTTTCCATTCTTGAAGATACAGTGGAACACAAACCCAAAAATGACATTTACAAATGATGCCTTATAGTTTGCCCATTTATTCATTTACTTATTGATTTTAGTGGCAATTCCCTTGTAAGTGGTGGGATTAACCCCAGGAGATAACAGAACCAGCACAGTGGCAGGAGGAAAAAAGACAGCAAGGCTAAAGAACATGAAAGAGACACTTTATGACATCATTGCAAGTGCTGAGGAAAAGAAGAGTCGTGGAGGCTTCCTGAGCTCTGGTTTGAGAAGCTGGGATGTTAGGGACACCAGTTGGCAAGACAGCACATCATTAGAACAGGTTTGTCAGCAGAAGGGAAAAGATGCTCTCAGCTTGTTCAGTGTTGAGTCCCTGATACCAAGAGCAGCACTGGATTCCACACATGATCCGATAAGGCAGTGGTTTTCAATCTGTGGGTCACAACACCTTTGGGGGTTGAAAAACCATTTCACAGGGGTCGCCTAAGACCATCAGGAAACACAGGTATTTACATTACAATTCATAATAGTTGCAAATTTAGTTATGAAGTAGCAATGAAAATAATTTTATGGTTGGGGTCACCACAACATGAGGAACGGTATTAAAGGGTCACAGTGTTAGGAAGTTTGAGAACTGGTGCACTAGGAATTATGTGTTGAAGTTTTCTAGGGAAAAAGTACCCTTGATAGAGCTACAATTAGCTTTCTTCTCAGAAAGCTTCTTATCAGCACTGGATGCCACTCTAAACCTGCTGATAATTACAGACTTTGTCTGTTACTTGGGAAAATCTGAAGCAATCTTTGCTTTCTTCAAATATAACAGTTTTATTGTAATATGATTTATTACATAGTATGCATACAGATCTGTAGCATTTGTACTGCAATTTTAGAAAATTTTATTTCTTCAAACAGGAATGTCACACTCACTAACAGTGACTTCCTGTCCACCTCTCTATAACCATCACTCTCTTAATAAAGTTGTTCCTGTCTTGAATGTCGTACAAATAGAATCATACAGTGTGTAGTCTTTTGTGAAGACCTTGCAAAACATTCTGAAGTTTCATGAATGATCTACAACAACCCCATCCTTCTTTAGTGACTGAGTAATATTGATGGCATGCATCTGATATAGTATTTCATAAATTTATGGTTATTTGGGCTGTTTCCAGTTTGGACCATTATGAACGATGCTATTATTATCAGTGGCGTTCTATATGGTCATGTTTTCAATTCTGTTGGATAAGTACCTAGGTCATATGATAGCTTTGTTCTGAGGGCTGATGTCCTGGTTGGAGATTCTATTGCTGTGAAGAGATACCATGACCACAGCAACTCATAAAGGAAAATATCTAGTTGGGGCTTGCTTACAGGTTCTGAAGTTTAGTCCATTATCTTTCTGGTAGGAAGTATAGCATTGTGCAGGCAGACACAGTGCTAGAGAAGGAACCAAGTAAGTGTTCTACATCTGGACTGGCAGGTGGCAGGAAGAGAAAGTGACACTGGGCCTGGCTTGGGCTTCTGAAACCCTAAAGCTCATCTACACTGACACATTTCTTCCAACATGACCACACCTACTCTAACAAAACCACATCTCCCAATAGTGCCACTCCTGAACCTGTGGGGCCATTTTCATTTAAACCACCATGGCTGACTAGCATATAATCTCTATGTGCATTAAGCCTCTAAAATGACAAGGAAATGCTGGCCGCTGCTGTTATGGCCACGGTTTTTATACTAGCCACAGTGTCGAGTTAAGAAACAGTATCCTATCCTAAATAACAGAAAGTAGACAAAAGATTCTGGACGGTCTGCAGCTGTGTTGGACCAAAATGCCCACATCAAAAGTTCCTGATAACAAGGCAACAACACACAAGAACGATTTAGTCACAGAAACTGCATCAGATCACGGGCCTTGGCATGGGGGAACTGACTTCCCTCTGTTTCCTCTCCCTCTCCATACTCCACCCTCCCTTCCTTTTTTCTGCTGGAGATCAAACCCAAGGGGTGGCACATGCTAGGCAAGTGCTGAGTCAGGTCCCTGTATTTGAAATGTAACCATAAAGCTTGTAAGTACCACACTGCTGACCTAGGCATATATTAGTGTGTTGTTGTCATGTATAAATCTTAGCTGCTGATTAATCCCAAGGTTCTGGTCTCAGTGATGGATTTACTCAAGTCAGCATATAAAATGCCTTTAGAAAATGGGTTCTAGAAAATCTGGGGAACACAAAGACAAGAAATGTGATTTTCTGTTTTTCTTAATCATGATGGGGACACTGCTGGCAACCTGGGAACACTAAGTCACAGGCAATTTCTGGGGACTGCCGTGTCCCATCAAGGGAATCATTTTAGGGACACTCAAACCTTTAGTAACATTTGGCCTAACAATGAATAATGCAAGCATCTGCAGACAAGCAAAACCTCCAC